ACCTTGAGCATTTTAGCTTCCCAGCACATGAAGCTATTCTGATGCAATTGACAATGATATCACCAATTTTTGTAATATGGTGTAATTAAATGTGTCAGCATCTGGAAGACCTCCGTAACTACATGACCTCCTTAGTTTTCACATTCTGCTCAGAGTTAATAATGTGTTGCCACATCAGTGAGAGTGTAGAGGCTTTTTAATTGTGTAAGTCTGCCTCTACCTGGTTTAAGATATATTTCTAATATGTATTATAAATATAGATAAAATCATCAATATAGTGTTAAAATTTTTGTTTAATTAGGCACATGTAGTTTAAAGGAATTAAGAGGAAACTGTATTTAGCTACATATTTACCCTTAGCTATGCCATTATTTTTCCCCCTGTTTTTATCTCATTTAATTTCCCTAAAACTTGAATAATATCCTTCAGCATTTCTTGCAGTACAGGTTTGGTAACCACAAATTCCTCTGGTTTTCTTTGATTTGAACATGTCTTTTTTAAAATTTATTTTTATTTTTATTTTTTAATTTTATCAGTACCGGGGATCGAACTCATGACTGCCTGCTTGCAAGGCAGGTGCTTATACCGCTGAGCTAAATCCCTAGCCCCAAACATGTCTGTATTTTACTCTCATTGTGTAAAGATTTTGTGCTGATAGGAATTTCAAGTTAATAGTTTTTATTTTTCTTTCTTTAGCACATTTAAAAATTCATTCATTCACTGGTCTCCATTGTTTTTGATAAGAAGTCAGTAGTTACTGAAACTGTTATTCCTGAATACACTGAAATTGTCTTCTGTTGTCATTGCAACTCTAACCCGTATGCACACTTAATTATATGCCTCTCTAGCTCTACCTATTGGAATGTGGTCCTGTATTATCAGTCGTATATATAGGGGGTTTACATAATGAGTCAGTCACTGGATTCCTTAAATGCTCATCAGTTTCTACACTCTGCATGCTAATAGGACATTTTGTGTTTATTTTCAAAATAATGTAGTGGTTTTTCTTTTTGTTAAGTTGATTTTGCTACCTGTTTTCTTCTTAAAGGTGTCAGTATTCTTCTCATCACTTGGACTTAAAACTTTGAAATTATCTTTTAGCTTGTTTTGGAAATATTTTATATTCATTACTTCTTTTGATACTATTACCATCCCAGTTACAGGGTCCAAAACAAGACACAACACTTAAAGACTGATGTTTTTCCAATCAGAAAAGCCTAGATTTCAAAAGCCTACTATTGTTTCTATTCTTTATTTCTCCCTCAGACCAACTTACCTGTCACATTATATTAGCAAGCTTCTGAAAATACTATTTTTATTTTGTGTTATCTTGGTCATTATTTTCAGTGCCTCCTCATTTCTTTGGATCATGTTTCTTTTTAGAGGAAAAATTGTCATGATCTCTCAATGCTGACTATTTTAATTTTTAGTAATGCATCTTAAGTGTGTCCAAACATAAAACAAAATGTAAACTTTCATACATAGTACCATGAATATTAATGTAGCATGACTATGACAAAAGATGTTTATCAAAACCAAGTTCAACATGCATATGTTACAGATTCTGAATTAGGCATGATCCTGTTCCACAGTGATGATTCAGCTCATGACTTTTGTGTCTTCAAACTTCTGAGAAGCCTTTATTTCCATAGCACACTGTTATCTCATTTGGCCTCCACTTGGTTCAAATGTCTCATGTTTTAGAAGTAAATTGTTTGTCTTTTTCACATCATCAGCCTGCTACAGTTCAACTACCACTACTTGTGTGTAGTAAGGTAGCAAATAATGATACACACAGCAGGATAGAAAATCCACATCAAAAATTGGATAGCTTTTCTGTATATCAATAATGAACTAGATGATAAGGAAATCAAGAAAACAGTTCTATTCACAGTAGCTTAAAAAAATAAAATAAAGCGGGCATGATAGTTCACACCTGTAATCCCAGTACTCAGGAGGCTGAGGCAGGAGGATCGTTGCAAGTTTGAGACCAGCCTGGGCTACAAACTGAGCTCAAGACTTGCCTGAACTGCATAGACACCCTGTCTCAAAAGAGACCAAAAAAAAAAAAAAAAAAAAAAAAAATGCCTGGGGATAAACCTAACCAAGGAGATGGAAGACTTTTACAATGAAAATTTCAGGACACTGGAGAGAGAAATTGACAGACAGTAGAATGACATTCTAAGTTTATGGGTCAGGAGAATTAACATTGCTAAAATAGCCATATTACTAAAAATCTCCTACAGATTCAGTACAATCTCCATGAAAATCCCAGACATCTTCACAGAAATGGAAAAAATAATTCAAAATTTTTATGGAAACACAAAAGACCAAAATAGCCAAAGCAATCCTGAGCAAAAGAAGCATCACAATATTCAGTTTACAATTATGTGACAAAACCACAGTGACAAAAAACTGCATGCCACAAAAATAAATACATAGACAAATTGGAATAGGAGAAACAGAAACAAACCCAGGCAACTATAGCTATATAATTCTTGACAAAGGACTCACAAACATACATTGAGAAAAGTCAGTCTCTTTAAAATGATGCCTGGAAAACTGGATATTCGTATGTGGAAGAGTAAAACTAGATCCCTATTTCTCACCCTATACAAAAATCTACCCAAAGCAGGTCAAAACCCGAAACTTTGAAACATCTAGAAAAACACTTGAAGTCCTAGGAAAAGACTTTGTGAATAGAATTCTGATAGTACAGGGTATAATAGCAGGATCAACAAATGGTGCTGCAACAAATTAAAACATTTCTGTACAGCAAAGCAAACCACTGACCGAGTGTGAAGGACAGGCTACAGAACTGAGGAAAATCTTTGCTGCCTAAGTCTTTGGACTACTATCTGCAGCATACAAAGATATGAACAAACCACCAAAGCAATCAAATAGTCAAATCAGGAAGTGGGAAGACATGAAGAGTCACTTCTCAAAAGAAGTACAAATAAGTGTATGGAAAGTGCTCAACATATTCAGCCATTAAAGAAATGCAAATCAAAATACATTGAATTTTCATCCCACTGTGGTCAGAATGACTATTATCAAGAATAAAATGCAAAAAAAGGGAATGCAATGCATATACCTACCTAGCTGCCTACTTACATGCACACACACACATCTATTATACACACACATACATAAATACATGCTGACAAGGATGTGGGATAAAGGAGCTATTGTGCTCTGTTGGTGGGAATGCAGATTCATATAATCACTATGGAAATCAATAGGGAGGTGCCTCAAAAACCTCAAATTAGAGCTGCCACGAATCATTTTACCACTCCTTGGTATATGCCCTGCAGAATTAAAGTCAGCATACTACAGGGACACCATGTTTACTGTGATACAATTGCTAATAGCCAAGATAGGGAACCAGCCTAGATTCCCATCAAAAGATGAGTGGATGAAGAAGGTGTAGTATAAACGTGCTGTTGCAAAATGTTTCTAAGCAGAGGAAATCAAGAAAAGCTATGTGTGTTAGGCGATAGGTATTTTAATTAGCTTGATTATATTATTCAGCTATAAAGAATAACAAAATTATGCCATTTACAGAAAAATGGAACGGATAGGAAGTCATGTTAAGTGAAATAAAGCAGATACAAAAGAACTAGTATTGCCTGTTCTCCTTAATATTTGCACTCTAAAAGAGATGACATGGAAGTAGGAAGGAGACTACTATTAGAAAAGAGGCAGGAATAAAGGGAGAAAGGAAGGGTGTAAGTAAGGGAGGTAATGGGGATATGAAAATATTATCAATTATATCATTAAAAGATTACGATGACATGAATTTATCAAGGTGAAAATGTTGTCCTTTCTACTCTGTTATGTGAAACAGGTTACAAAACAACATACATGGCAGTGCCAAATTTTACTTTTCAAAAATATATTAACGTATGGAGCTATCAAGAAATAGTTTAGAATGGTATTCACGTGACTGCTTTAGTCTCTGGGAATGGGATGCTGAGCACATGTTTTTGTTTGTTTTTTTGATTACGAGTATTTTTGAGGAAATTAAGAATTGCTTCAAGTATGTGTGGTGGTGTATATGTTATTATCTTGACTGTAGTAATCATTTCACAATGTATATGGGCCTTAAACATACAGTGTGCCTTAAATATTTGAGTTTATTTGCCATTATACTTAATAGAAATAAAGAAAAAGGCACAATATACACACATTAAGGTTTGATGTTATTTAATGATTGGGGTTTCTATGTAAGTATCCAGATAATCCAGAATATGGTGTGTGTGTGTGTGTGTGTGTGTGTGTGTGTGTGTGTAAGAGACTAAGAGAGTTTTAATTTTTAATTCACTTTAAAAAAGACAGATTTTTATAGAAAGCAAATAGAATCTCAAAGTTGGTCTCATCCTCTCAGTTTATACAGACCTTCTAAAAAATATTCATCTGCAAGATAAAAATTGTGCATGAGAGGCCGTTATCAATTTGGGTTAAATGTCTCTTCCTTTTCAGTTTTGTTTTTCTTTTTGGAGCAACACTCCCCTCATGTGTGCCTTTTGTATTCCCTGTCCATAACCTTTAAAGACAATTAGTATTTTCATTTCTGCTTCTGTCAACTTTTCAATTATAATTTGACTTTTCTCCTTTTAGTTTTTCTCTGATTTTCTTCTGTCTAGTGTCTTGGTGTTTCAGTGTTTGGTAGTGTTATTTTTAAATTGTTTGATTTTCATTCTCTCAACATCGTCAGACTTTAGGAAGCTTAAAGGCAAAATAGTATCTTCAAAGTTTTTTGTTTTTTTCTTTTGTTTGTTTTTGCACTATCCTTAGAACCTTCATTGATAGTCCTGAAGCATTTACTGAGGGAAGGAAATGATTAAATGTAATGCATAGTACTACAGATTTTCTTTTTCTTGAAAAATTTGTGTTTTCTTTATATGATGTTTAAGCAAGTTACATTGATGTAGAAAGTTTGCATTTCTCAGACAGTAAAATGCTTCATAATTTTTTTTTCCTTTGTTCTTCATTTCCAGGACTGTTGGGAAAGATCCTGATGGCTATTCGGGATGCGTGTTTTGAAATTTCAGCCATGCAGATGGTAGGTAGTTTGCTGTAAAGCGTGATGAATTGATGATTTTGCTTTAGACTGCTTTTTCCTGAATGTCCTTTCTATACCTGTGAAAATGGATTAAAAATAATGGACACATTTCCTGACCTCACAACTTTATAATTAAAAAATTTTGACATGATTTTCATGATTTTATCCATAAAATACCTCTCTCTCCCTCTTCTTCTCTTCCTCTCTCCCTCTCTCTCCCTCTCCCTCTCTCTCCCTTTCCTTCTCTCCCTGTCTCTCCCTCTCTCCCCCCCCCCTTTCTTTCCATAGTGAGAATTGAACTCAGGACCTTGTGCTTGCCTGGCAAGTACAATACTACTGAGCTATATTCCCAGTCCTAATCCTTCACTAAGAGAACTAATGTTAAAATAACACAATTTGTGCTTATAAAGTAAGTTTATTCATTTCTTGGAACTTAAGTCACAAAATAAATTAATCCAAAAATACAGTTCTTAGAAATGAAAACTCGAATCAAACTGAGAAATTAAGCTGAGTTTTCTGGGTTCTGGAATCCCAAGCAGATAATGCAGTGAATTAAGTTCAGGTTTTTGTCCTCTGCTCTGGTGTTTCTAGAGTCTACATTTATAGAGTCTCCCTCAAGAGCTTTTTGGAGTTAGTGCATTTCATCCTCTTTTTGGTCACTTGCACTCCCCAGCAAGATCTTAAACGTTTCTAACACAAAGAAACAATAAATATTTGAGGTGGTGGATTTGCTAATTATCCTGATTTGATTGCTATACATTGTATGTATGAATTGAATTGAAATATTACACTGTATACCATATTACTATTACACCATGATAGTATTACTATTCTTCAATTTAAAAATTAAAAATTTTAAAAAACAAGTATAACTAGTTTGGACTTTCATCAAGCAAAAATCTTTTAAAATGATGAGAAAAATGGTATTTGGAGTGTCTTATAGGATTATAAAAAAATTCTTAACCAAAACTTTCTAAAAGTGATGATATAATAATAGGATTAGTACACTCAAGCCTACTTTAAAAATGATTATAGGAAGTTTTGTAGTCCAGGGTGGCCTTGAACTCACAGCAGTCCTTCTGCCTCAGCCTCCTGAATGCTGGGATTACAGACATGTACTACCATTCCAGGCTAGGAAAATATTTTTAACGTTGGCCTAATTGTAGGTCTGCAATCCAACATAGTGATTTAACAGTAGCTACTTAATGGAGCCTGTGGTGGAGGCACAGAATGCATGGCATGTACAGTTACTGACTTTGGGAGTCAGATTACTTCTGAATTTGGGGTCAGCTGCTTTATGCTGTGGCTAACTGTCAAGCATTCCTGTCCTCAGTTTTCTTATCTAGGCAACAAGAACGGTTGTTTATCAAATGAATTATTCTGTAGAGTAAATGAAGTAATCATACACAGTGCTTTATAGTTAGAAACTCTCTAAACTAGAAGCTCCCAGTACTAAGTATTTAATAAGTTATATCTTCTGGGTTTTTTGCATTAATAATAAATTTTTATGAGTGTAGAATAAAACTACTGCAATCAGTGGAATTCCCTCTCTATGCAAGTAATGTTGTCTTTGATGGTAAATCTTTTGAGCTTGAGTTATTATCCATATAGGAAAAAGTTTCTCAGTCTTGGCAACAATAAAGAAGCAAAGTAGGGGAAAATAAAATTAGAAATTCAGAGATTATTAAGAAGTAGGTTTTAATTTTGAGATCCTAGAATATAGTGAAATTTAACTCAATTAAATTTCAATCCAACTTTGATAAGAGTAAGTTGTTCTAGACTTGCTTCACTGTGTAAGCACTCTCTGATTGTTTGTGAAGAGTAATAACAATCCCAATGACATGTATAAGTGGTTTGATACAGTCTAGATTGGGGATTGTTTGGAATGTTTGGGATGAAAATAGTGTTATTTTCCATTCCTTCTACTGTAACCTAAAATGCTTTTCTTCAGTAATATTTTTCCTTGTAATTTTTGTCTATCAGTAAGCTATATTACATTGGGTCTATCCTTTTTATATCAAGAATGATTTTTTCAAAGAAGTATAGGGCTTGTGATAACAGCATGATCAATGAGATCAATGCTAGAGACAGAATGCTAATTTTGAGAGGTTTTATAGCCTTCTCCATCTTAGTAGCCCCATCAGTAAACGAATGTGGGTTTTTATTACTATCTGTGCCATTGCCTTACCTAAATGGGATAATGTATGTGAAGAACATAGAATAGGGTATGACACATTAAGTACTCAATAACTATTATCCATTGTTATTAGTCAACTATCTTAACACTTTTTTTTCAAAGAGTAAATTACTCAAGATTTGCATTTTAAAGTGAATATAGAAACAAGGAAGGATAAACACTGAGTGCTAAGTGTGGCTTATTTATTTTCTTGGTTGGTTGATGGATTTATTTTGTTCTATTTTTAATTATAGTTCAACATGGACCGGGTTAATGTTGAAGAATTCTATGAAGTTTATAAAGGAGTAGTATCTGAGTATAATGTAAGTATTGAAATAAATGGAAAGCATTAATACTGAAAAAAAATTTTTTTGTATGGGATCGAACTCAGGACCTCACACCTGCCAGGCTGGTGCTAATGTCGCTGAGCTCACTCTCTGGCCCCTTGAAAACAATTTTTTGTGTCTCAAGTCTTGGGAATCTCAGTATAATCAATAGTCAGTAAGGTTGGCCAAGCCATGTAGTGGGCATTTGTAATCCCAGCACTTGGGAAGCTAAGGCAGAAGGATTGCCACAAGTTCAAGTCATGTCTGGGCTACATAGTGAGTTTAAGGCTATACTGTACTATGTATCAAGATCTTGTCTCACAAGACAACAAAAAATTATTAAAATATTTCTTATTGTATGATTTGCAAACTATACATCTGATAAGGGGCTAATATTCAAAATATGTAAAGAATTCAACTCAAGAGACCAAATAACCTGATTTACAAATGAGTAAAGAATCTGAATAGGTATTTTTCAAAAGAAGAGATGTGATCGACCAACTGATATATGAACAAGTGTTCATCTGTAAACATCACGGAAATGCAAATTAAAAAGCACACTGAGATGTCTTCTCATGTCTGTTAAAATGATTACTGTCCAAGATAGCTAACAACAAATGTTGTCAAGAATATGGAGAAAAGAAAACCCTTGAACACTATTAATATCATTAATATGTACAGCCATTTTGGAAAACAGTAAGGAGATGCATTAAAAAATTAAACAGAATTAAACAAAAATCTTTTAAACTGATGAGAAAAATGGATTTGTTCTATGATCCAGCAGTTATGCTTCTGGGTATGTGTCCATATAATTGACATCAGTATGTTGAAGAGATATTTGTACTCCCATGTTCATTTCAACATTATGCAAAGTAGCAAAGAAACTGAAACAACTTAAATGTCCATCGTTGGATGAAACGGTGAAGAAAACATAGCATATACCATACAGCCTTTGAAAAGAAGGGGATTCCTTGATTTGCAATAACATGTATAAACCTGGAGTGCCTTATGCTAAGTGAAATAAACTAGGCACAAAACAACACATACTGTTTGATCTCATCTATGTACAGTTTAAAAAGTTGGACTCATGGAACCAGAGGCTGCTAAGAAGAAAGCAGCATGGGAATTAGGGAGGTACTGGTCAAAGGGAACAAAGCTTTAATTAGACTGAAGGAGGGTAAAGTTTTAATGATTGATTGTGTGGCATGGTGACCACAGTTACTAATAATGTCTGTGCTAAAATAGAATATCAACATTCTCATCACAATAAGAAAGGTAAATTTGTGTTAATTGAATTGTTTAGGTCTTTTTATAATGTATATATATATATATAGATCAAAACATCACATTATAGCACAGATATGTATACAATTATTTGTCAATTTAAAAGCATTTTAAGCAATTTAAGCATTTCTTACTTTTTCTGATAACTGCCTTACCCATTGACTAATAGATTCCTATCCTTGAGAGCCAGTGAAAAATATAATGCTATTTCCTTAATGGAACCAGGACATACAGGGAGCCTGCAAAAAAACAAAAATAGGTATCATCAACAAGAACCAGTTGGATGATGATACATTTTGACATTGTAGATAAAATTGATAATATTCTCAGAGGCACTTAATACCCATTTTAGTAACATAAATGCAGGTATAATCAACTGAAAGTGTGACTGACACTAAATAATTTAAAGGTTGTTGTTCGAAGGGCAGTGCGATGCATTCTTAAAAACAAATTGACCATATTCCAATGAACTGAATCTCATTCCTTAATGGGTCAGCACACAGAGGATATTCAAAAGAAGTTAGTTTCCTTTCATCTTTGTCAAATTTTCTTAGATACATTTATGCTAGTACACTGGCTATTATCTCTGTTTTCTAGAAAATTTTGGCTTTTATTTTAGCATAAAATTCACTACAGTACTTGTGACAGTGAGAATAGATTCTCCTGCTCTCCTTTTTCTATGCATTTCCTTTCTACTTACTTAGAAAAATAAAAAATCATCCACAAACTGGCCTGAGCCTTTGTCAGCCACATAATCCCTATAAATAAATATGATTAAAAATACTTTGTTTTGAATCTAGCATACTGATAGTGTTCTGTCCTTCTTTTGAAAAACCAGAACTTTTATTTTTCTTTAACAGCTTATCATCGTATTTTAGAATTTTACATATTCTTTTCATACTTGAAAGAGATTTTTAAGTGTTAAAGTCACTTACATTAACATTATTTATCCAAACAATGATATCTGTCGTCCATTTCTTAATCTTTCCTCCATATTTTTCTTTCCTTTATTTGTTCAATTTAACATTTAAAATATGTGGTTCAGAGGAGTTGGTTGTTTGACTATAAAGTCACTTACTTTTTTAAATCCTTGGTTAACTCATTTATAAAATCAGAATAATGCCATTACTACTTTGTGAGATTATTGAGAAGGTTAAATGAAAAAAATTAGGTAAAGCACTCCTTCATATTGAGAATACTCAGTAAACATGAGCTGCTGTTTTTATTATTATTGAATGCAGTTGTGTGGTGGTAATTCTCTGTTCACCACTTTATGACATTTGAATTTCCTGCTTCAGCATTTACTGTCATAAAATGGTGATAATTCCTTTGTACTCTTATCACAAATTCACTATATACATAGTACATACTAAATGCCATGCAATCACTGGTAAACACAAAGCATCCTAGCAGTTGTGGAGCTCAGGTATTGGTAAGAATAGAACCTAATTAGATCAAGTGATCCTACGTGCAACTACTATAGGTCAGCAAAAGATTGGAAAGAAACATGTTCACTTCTGTTTAGAAAATTTGTTCCTTAGGTAAAAGCTGGGAACTTAAATTTTAAGTCATGTTTTTAAAGAATCATGTTATGTTTTTGATTGGATTCTTTGCTCAACATCTTTTTATTTTAAAGAGCATAAAACAAAAGAGAACGGAACAAAGCAAATCAGAACAAAACAAAACAATGCAAGCAGCACAGCATTTTTCTTTCTTTCTTTCTTTCTTTCTTTCTTTCTTTCTTTCTTTCTTTCTTTCTTTCTTTCTTTCTTTCTTTCTTTCTTTCTTTTGCATTTTGAACAAACCTGTCTATCTGCTTTTTAATGGTATCTGTTATCAACACTAAAAGCCAATGGGGAGAGACAAAGAGGAGGGAATGAGAAAAGGAAGGAAGCAATCCCAGAAGACAGACAGAATTATTTTTTCCTTTTTTGGGACATGTGTTTATACCTTCTCCTCTTACTAAGAACTTGGCTGAGACATTTATGTGTAGGCAGTACTTCAGAATCATGAGGCATAAAATCAGACTCAACATAATCATGTGTAAAAAGTCAATTACATATGACCTTTGTGAAATAGCAAAGTGACTTTGGGGAATACATGTAGGGATTCTCATAAGCAGGGTTATGTGTACCCTCTTAATTATAAACTCCTTTCTCTCTTTTAATTTCTATCCTTTTAAGGTAACAGTTTGGGTTAATATTTAATGCCTGTAATAAATTGCTTTCCTTTGGTGTTGTATATAATAAAACCTCCAAAGTTATTAAAATAGCTTACATGGCTCTGCATTATCTGACCTTACTCTTATTACCTTCCTAGAGTCTTACTCAGCTCCTGACTCTTTGCTGATCTTTATATATCCCAACTGGCAGTGTGCTTCAAAATCTTAATGTTTACTTCTGCCTGAAGTGTTTGTTATTCAAGGGAGAGAAGAAAAGAAGTTTTATTGATGATTCCCCCAGACACTGAGAGGCCATTTTCCTGATTGTGCTATTGTACCATTTCACATAGGGTTAAAAATCTTAAATAGTATACTTTTATTTTTTCTCTTATTCTATGTGCTATTGTTGTTGTTCATATTATTTCTATATGTATCATAAACACTGCAGTATAATACTAACATAGTTTGTATTAAATAGTTATATTTTAAAAATTAGAAAAATTAGAAGTTTCTTAAAATAAGAAAAAAGTATACTGATGTTTTGCCCAAATCTGTATTTTTGCTTGATATTACTTTTCTGTGTGAAGAAATTTCTTTAACATTTCTTCTGGTTTAAGACAGCTGGTGGTAAATTCTTTTAACTCTTATCTGTGGGGAAAAAAAAAAATCTATTTTTCATTTTTTTTGAAAAATATTCTCTCACTTGGGTATAGAATTTTGGATTGACAGGTATTTTGCGGTTGTCAGCCTTATCTTTGTTCTGCTGTTACGTGTCTTTTGCTTCCTCAGAGGTTTTAAAGATGTTTTGGTTTTGTTTTGGGCTAAGTTGTTTATGATGTCTTGTACTTTCCTTTACATTTATTTTCTTGAGTTTTGTTTAATTTATGTTTATAGGTTTCAACATATTTGAAAAGTGTCTTACAGTTAGTTTTTGTTCGTACATATTAGTTATTCAGAATAGTAGGTTACATTTGGTATATTAGTTTATGCATATAACATGCTTTGATAATATCCATTGCCTGCATTATACCCCTTGGCTTCTCCCCCTTATTCTCCTCCTCCTCCTTCTCCTCCTCCTCTTCCCCTTCTTCTTCTACTCCTCCTTCTCCTTCTCTTCCTCCTCCTCCTCCTTTCTTTTTGTCTCCCTCCTACCTTGAAGGCATCTCTTTTTATATAGATTACACATAGCAGAGGAAATGGAATACTGGTCTTTCGAAGTCTGACTTATTTCACTTAACATCTTCAGCTCCATCCATTTTCCTGCAATTGACTTGATTTCATTCTTCTTTATGGCTGAGTTTTATATATTCCATTCATCTATTGACAGGCATACTAAGAGTGGAATAGCTAGATCAACAAGTATATGAAAATGCCCATATCTTTAGCCTTTCATCTCACCCCAGTCAGAAAGGTGATCATTAAGAAAAAAAAAAACAAAAAAAAAAAACAATAAACACTAAACAGGATGTGAGAATAAGAAATTCTTCTACACTGTTAGTGAAAACACAATTAATATAGCTAACAATGGAAATCAATAGGGAGGTTTTTGTTTTCTTAATGAACACCTTTCTGACTGGGGTGAGATGGAACACAAAGTAATTTTTATTTTCATTTCCTGATATGGACACTTTCATATACTTGTTGACTGTATTTCTTTTGAAAGATGTGTATTCCCGAAGAGCGTGTGGGGAAATAATTCAAGCTTAGAAAGATAACAACCTCCAGCCAAGATGGATATATCCTAGAAATTGATGGAAAAACAAGGTGCTTCCAAGATAAAGAGGAACTAGGGGAATTTGCAACCACCAATTCAACTCTACAGAGAATACTGTAGGATAGTCTAAAAAAGGAAAATACCAAGACTTCAGAAACAGTGGCAGAGAGGCCACCATGAATGGAGCAGAAAGCGAAATGAAGAAGACAAACTGACAACAAATGACAGAAAAAGAGCTCAACAGAAATGAAGCAGAGAAGATTGGATGGTAGAAACAGCTGTTTTGGAGAAAACAAGATATCATAATAGCTAGTGCTGATTTAATATCATCTCGCTTTGAAGTCCCATCAAGCTTTTATTCTTCTGTCTCCATCGGTTTTAACGTGTTGTATCTTATTGGATTTTATTATACATGATAATATAAACAAAAACTTTTATAGACAAGGAGATTATATAGAAACTATTGTTCATTTTCTGATAGTTGGTTCTAAATACCCTGTAATACTGTCATTCTCTTGAATGTTTTATATTGTCTTGATATGTTTGGTGAGTATATGAAGTTATACTCAAAGATTTCAAGGAAAGAGACAATATGGTAACTACTTTTATGTCAGGATTATCTTGTGGTGAAACACTTAAATGGTTATGTTTTGATCTGCGCTGTTTTGCTGTTATGCCCTCTTTTATCTCAATCTCCTTTTTAAAAAAATTATTTACTTTTTTATTTTTATCTTTTTAATTAAGGGAAAAATAAAAAAGCAGGATATATTATAGTAACCCACTTTGATTTCCTATTCACTTGATTTGAAACGCTGTATAGCCTTCACCATCTTGCTTTGACTGATTTTCCTCTATTCTGCTTTGCTTGATAGTACCAAGTTCGAAAGTATAGGCATAACTGTGAAAACAATAAGATTCATTATGACGCCCATCCCGGTTGACTATTATCTTCTTTTAAAGTCCTGTAATGTCTCCAATATTTTGGTTTTATTCTTTACTGTTTTGTTCAATTTTATTATAACTGATGATATAGGCAATTCTTTTTAAGATAGCAAGAGGCAGTATGGTAACCATTGTTGATCACCTAGTATTTTGTTTTTACATTATCTATTATCTCCATCCTTTTGATTTGACTGACTTTGTTCTGTTATGGCACATTTGGTTTTACTGTCTTCAAAAAAAAGTAACAAGAACTGTGGGAGTAATAAAACCCAAAATGTGTAATTGTCATTGTACAAAAGAAAGGAAAAGAAAGTGCTCTAAAGAATATAACTGCATACATATTTAAGTGTATAAGATAGATAACCATATTACTGAGTTTTGTTGGATCACTGAACAAAACTGTTTCCAGTCTCACTGTTTGAAAGTCCATTTTATATGCTTTAATTTTGTAACTTGAACATCTATTTCTAAGATAACAATATGTAATCAATTAACTAGTGATTTCCTACTGTTTATGTTTTCTGGAATTCTGTATAACTTGTACCCTTTTTCTATTTTTTTTCTTTTTCTCCTTAAATAAAAAAAGAAAGAAAGATGTGTACTCTATTTTTTTGCCCATCTACTGATTAGGTTTCTGGATTGGGTAAATCGTATGCTACAAGAATAGCTGGTGTATTAGATTATCTAATGTTTAACTTGTAAGACCCAGCTGAACTGAATCAGAATGGTGCTGGGTGTGGAAGGCCCACCTGAGGATTATTGCCAACAGCATAAAAAGAGAACAGGAGAAGATAACAAGCTGTTGATTCTCCTAGAGAAGCTTGTCACGCTGTTTTCCTGATACGAATTCAGCTGTTCTCATCATTGGAGGATCTCTGATCCTCACTGTCACTGAGGATGTCTGGGGAGGTCTGGTCCCTACTTGGAGCACTGCTTCCTGACTCCAATGCAGATCCTCTGCCTGGTGGCACAGACCCTTCATTCTGCTGGTGCACTTTGCTGAATTTGCTCATCAGATCTAAATGCTTTCTGGTGTAAATCTTATTATCTTATAGGTAAAAGATCATAGTATCTGCAAATAATTTGACTTGTTCTTTTCCTATTTACATCTTATTTGTTTCTTTCTCTTACCTAATTTTCAGCAGTTATTTCTTGAAATATTTTTCTGCTCATCAGCTTTTGTTCTGTCACACTGTAATTACATTAGATAGCTTAACATTGTCCTGTAGATCTTTTTCTTTTTTCATTTTTATTCATTCTTTATTATTTCCATGCTTACTTTTGAGCACTATTACCTATCTTCAAATTCATTGTTCTTCTGAAGTATCTCATTCTGTCTACTCATTTAGTATATGTCAATATAAGGTCTTTGGTTGCATCTCTAGAAGTTCCATGTGACTCTTTAAAATAATTTTAATTTTTTTACCTCATCATATTCATGTTTTATAATATGTGCATGTGGAGCTTATGCATGGTAGCTATTTAACAATCTTGCTTTAGTTATATCATTCCTATCATTGCCAGGTCTGTATGTATTAAGGTTTTATGGTGATGGCCCCAGTTTTGTACTTGTTTGCATGCCTGGTGATTTTATTTTTTTTATTGAGTGTTGGATATTGAGAGAATTTAGTTTTATATAATGAGTATTGTTTTATTTGTTTAAATAGTGTTTGACTTTACTCTTGCACTGAGAAATTATTTGGGATCAGCAACCCCTTTGAGGCTTGCTTTTTAGCTTTGTAGGATAGGTACCGAGCAGCTCGTAAATTAGAACTAATTTAGGCCACTGTAGTGGTGCACGACCAATTTAACTCTGTATGTCATATGATGGGTTTCCTCTTAGCTGGTAGAAGCACAAACTGTCCCAACCTTAAGTTGTCCTTTCTCTGAGTTGTTAGGCTACTGTTTTCTGGTGATTCTTTCCCTACCTTCAAGTAGTTTCCTGCATCTGCTACAGACTGTTAGCAAAAGACTCAAGTGGACTTATCTGGAAATACTGCAGCTTACTCTCTATATAGCTCCCCACCTTTCTCTAGTGTTTGAAAATTCCAGCCTCATTAGCCTCCATGTACTTCAGTCTTATCTCTTGAGTGCTGTGAGAATGTTAGGCTCTGTTGTTTTCTCTTCCTGTCCTGTATCTGTCTCTCCTGTCTGGAAAGTGCTCGCAGTCAATAAGTTGGAACAATTATGTGGCTTACTTCATTTGTTTCCTTTCTCTCAAAGATTGTAGTAATGTGATACTTGTTATTCCATATCTGAAAACTATTGTCTAGCTTCTAGATGTGTAATGGTAAAGAATAAATCTGGTCCTTGTTTTTCCTTTTTGCTAGAATGCATTATGAATTTTAAAAGGTTCTTTGGGAGAAAAACTTGGTTATTTACAATTTCAGGAATGTTAATTTGCCAACAATGTGTGCAAAGAGACCTTGAAAGAAGTTATATTAGAAGATAACTTCAAATCATGAAAGAATTAGGTGATAGTGCATTAGGTTAAAACAATAGGAATGACAATGAGGAACATAGCTAAAAATATTCGTGGGAAAAGTGGGCAGATTTTTGGTAATGGCTTAGTGTGTAGGGTAAGGGTGGAAAAGAAGTCAAAGGTGACTTTAATACTGTAAGATTAATGGAACAATGACACAATCAGAAGACAAGTAAATACTATTAAATAATATTGATTCATTTGTGTTCTTTTATATTTTATACTATAGGAAATGGTGACAGAAATGTATTCTGGCTCTTGTGTAGCAATGGAAATCCAACAGAATAATCCTACAAAGACATTTCGAGAATTTTGTGGACCTGCTGATCCTGTAAGTTATTTTAAACTATTATCTTAGTTTGTGTTATCCATCAACTATCTTAACAGGTTTATATTTTTAGTTCTTTAAAAGAAATAATATAGAAATAATATAGCAGTGATATGTCCAATACTAGAGACAGCATCAGTGGACATAAAGAAATACCTTCATGACCTCATAGATGAATTTAAAGCTGTACTTCTGATCCAAGTGAGGCAAGATATAAAAAGATTAATTAAATAAATGATAAGCCCCTCCCAAGAGAACACAGAAGGAAGAACGGAGGAACTCAGAAAAGAAAGAGAAACCTTTGATGAAGAATTTAAACATAACCTAAAATACATGAAACAGATCCAAAGAGATTACCAGGAAACTAAAAACTCCATTGAAAACTGGCAAAATGCCTTGACAGAAACTAAAGTTAGCCTTTTGAAACTTGAAGAGAGATTTATGATATATGATTGTGAAAGAAAAGATCTCTTAAAAATAACGAGGAACCAGGAAGAAACAATTCAAAGGCTAGAAGATGACAAAAGGATCTATAACTTAAGAATAAAGCATGTGAGTGAAGAAGCAGGAGTAACCACAAATGAACTACAAAGAATATTCAGGTATAATTAAGGAAAACTTCCCAAGCATAGGAAAAAGAAATGATATCCAGATAAATGAGGCATACAGAACTCCAGCCACCTACAACCAAAACAGAACTACACCCAGACATATAATAATCAAGATTCCAGAAATCCACCAAAAGAACAGAATATTAAAAGCAGCTAGGGAAAAGAAGCAGATTACCTACAATGGGAAAATTATCAAAATAACAACAGACTTAGCAACACAAACTCTCAAATCAAGAAGAGCCTGGGGGGAAATAGTTCAAGCCCTGAAAGAAAATAATCTGCAACCAAGACTGATGTACCCAGAAAAACTCTCTCTCAAAATTAATGGAGAAATAAGATGTTTCCAAGACAAGGAGGAACTGTGGGAGTTAATGGCCACCAACCCAACCCTACTAAAAATACTGAAGGACATTCCAGAGAGAGAGAGAGAGAGAGAAAGAGGAAGGGATACCAGGATTCCAGCAACAGTGGCAGAGAGGCCTCAATGAACAGGGCAGACAGTGGAATGAAGTAAAGTGGACAAATTATAGCAGAAAAATAGAATAGCAGACATGAGGCAGAGACGGTAAGCTATAATCTTTAATATAGTTAACCTTGATACACTAAAATTAAAAAAAAAAACAGGCAGAGTAGATTAGGAGGCAGGTTCCATCGAGCTGCTTTGTATAGGAAATACACTCAACCTGAAAGAGGGTTAATAAACTGAAAGTTAAAGATGAGAAAACAGTGTAATATGTGACAGGAAACCAGAGAGAAATAGGGACAACTCGTCCAGCAGCCGCAGATAGATTGGAAAGCTGTGACACTTTTGGGCAGTGTAGAACTACACAGCTGGAAGGAAGGAAAACCCTATGACTTTAGTAAGTAAAGGAGTACATCTCAGGATCAAGCTCAGGGGTAGAAAGGTTCAGCAACACTCAGATAGATAACAGGCTGGCCCCCTAATCTAAAAACTAAAGGAGCTAGTGGGACCCAAAATATACAAAGCATCCTGAGAAGGGGAAAGGTGAGGAACTGCCTTAAAAAAGGAAGGCAGAGGACATTGTTAGTAGTGTATCAGGATTGAAAAGTCAGAGTAGTCTTATGGCTCTGTTTAGTTTGATTTTATTTTGTTGTGGTCTGTCCACTCATCAGATTTGAAGGCACAGACATCTAACCCCAAAATAGCAAGTTATACCATGGTAAACTATCCTTAGTTTCCTATTAACTTAAACTGAAACCCTGTATTACTTATATTATCCTACTATGACTGATATTATTTGAAGCTGGTTTGCTAGACTGTGGTTTTGCCTTGGCTGATTTTATTCAAATTTGATATGCTTGATAGTATCAAGTCTAAGAGTAGAGGAAACTACTCTGAAGATGACAAGATGTAAAAGATATCCATACCGGTTTTGATTATTAACCGCTTTCTAGTCCTACAGTGTCTTCAAAGTTGTGTTTTTATAAAAATAGCTATGTTATACTATGCTTAACTATGTTAAGCCTGATGAGAAAGCTGAGCTCAGTTTTTATCATTTTTTTATCACTTAGAATTCTGGTATATGTTTGATAGCCAAGGTAAGTTTCTGTTCATTTATTTTTAAGACAATTAAAATGATGATAGATCAGCTGACCAATTAAAGAGTAAAATTGTTCAAATTAAAAAACAAAGCAACCCTGAGTGGCTAATTCTCACGTACTGGGACAGTTGCATTGTTAGACATTTGTGAGTACAGTGGGACCTCAGAATAATAGTACCTACCCACCTCAGAGGTCTGGGACACTTCTTGAAGGCAGACATTGGGCTGAACTGTGAGGAGTGAGTGGAATTTAGCTTGGTAATGAAGGTGGAAAATAATATGACCTAAACTATGTATGCATAAAACAACATCACTGTGGAATTATAGCAAGCTTGTTACTTTTAATGGAGCTAAAGTGCAGGCGAGAAATGATAGGATGAAAGAAGTCATTGGGGAGGAGCTGGAGGATGAGCAAGGAGGAGGAAGTGTCTTGAAAAAGAAAAAATGCTGCTTCTCTTTCTTTCTAAATATTTATTCAGTGATCACTTACTCCATGAAAGATGTATGTACAACTCACTGCTAGGTCCTGTGGCTAAGGCATCTTAAGATTGTTTAAAGAGCTCATAATCTCATAACATTTCAAGTTGGAAACTGTTGTGAGGTCCTAAATCTTGCTTTGTTAAGTACAGCTGGAATTATGCCACTATGGGATTTTTTTCATTTTTGTTGTTTATGAGCCTCCCGTGGAATTACGAAGTCACACCACAGAGATTTCAAAATTTGGAACGACAGTACTTGTTTTGGGGAGGTGGATTATGGTAATGTTTTAGTTCTAATTTTCTGTATTGTACTAATTTTCTTTGAATTACTTATATCGCATTTATAGTAAGAAGAATACTGTTTATTTTATCATAAACCTGAAAGTTACTAAACTTTTAATTGAGGCTTATATTTACTGACGTGATTCTCCATTTGAATATCGGTGCTGAATTATGGACTATTCCTAGAGGCAGACCAGGTTGTCAAGCAGCACAACATGCACCTGTCAGTTCTTTCCAAATCAGAAAAAATAGAGTGATGGTCGCAGTCAAACTATACTTTGAGAATAAAACGGCACTTTCCCAGTGTTCTCAGACTTCTTCTGAATTTCATTTGATCTTTTCCCTCATTTCTTTCTTCCTTTTCTCACTCCTGTCCAAAAAATAGATATTTGCGAGCCAGTATGCCAGGAATATGTTAATATGTTAACGATCTAAGAAAAAAAAAACCCACAACAATATATAATGCTTATCTCTGAAGAACTTACAGTCTAGCTCTCGGAGAAAATAGAATTATTAATTAAGAACAGTTGCACTTGAAACTGCAAGGTGTGTTTATCTGTGATTTAGAAATTCATATCTTCACTGTCTTGCCATTCTCATGTCCAAAAAATGACTCCTGGATTACAGTACATGTAAATATAATTAATGCTTGGAAGACTACCAAAAACATAGTAGTCATGCAATTAATATTTGGTAAATAAATTGGTTATGTTTTTATATATATCTAACATCTGCTAATTGCTTAAAGATATTTTACCTACCAAAACGGTTCTTATGTTTTTCTTTCTTTCTTCTTTTCTAAGATTCAGAGCTATTTATACTTTGATATGAAAGAAGGTTTAACCTAACAGAAGCCTTTAGGTCATTTTTTAACTGCATACATTGAAAGTTGATATCATTTCAACATTAATGTCTGTGATATTCACAGATTCTTCTTCCTCTTTATGATATGTTTGGAGAGAATGAACAAACTGTCTTCCAGTCTCTCTAGAAGTAGTATCCAGAGAGGAGAGTGGAACAGCAGAGAGTTCATTAGGGACAGGGGTGGAGGGAATGATTACCTTACATTTCTACTTTATCTAACAAGTAGGAAAAATTAAGTCTCAATAAAATATAAAATGTGAAGCCTTAAGAGTAAATTTATAGTTTTCCTGCGGAATCATTTGGAAACTCAATCATGAAGGAGTAGTTAAATTATCTGCAAAAACTCTGTAGAATACACTTGTTTTTGTACTGGTGGATCTGTCAAGTTAAAATAACCTAACATCATGTATTAGTCAGGTTTGCATTATGATATATAAATACTTGAGTCAGTTAATTTATGAACAGAAAGAGTTTATTTAGCTTATAGTCCTAGAAGTTCCAATTCAAGTTACAAGGTTGCATTGCTTTGGGCCTCTGATGAAAATCCATGATGGACATGTGGGGCATTAGTGTCACATCTAGCAGCTCACAAGACAGGTCGAGAAGAAAGAGAAGATCGGCCAGTGTCCCACAACCCACTTAGAGAATTGAGGATATCCCACCAGTGCTTTGCCTCTTAATGGTTCACAGCACTTCCCGCTGTCGGTGCCCCGGGGACCAGGTCTTTAGTTTATAGACTTTTGGAGGACACTGTATCTTTTCAAACCATATGATGTAAATATGCTTTGTTTTATTTTTTAAAAATTATTCCAAAAACACTTTATCTAAAGCACATTTTGTGTTATTTAATGTGTTATTAAAATGCGATTCACATAAAGTGTTTCACTTAAGGGAAACTAAATATTTTTTTAAAGTACATGTCCATCTCACCTGCTCTCGTAGTTTGAAAACTTCTACTCCATCACAAGATCAAACTGAGTCAAGTATTTTCATATACAAGCATAGCTCTATACATTTTAATAATACTTGGTAAAGGCTACTAAGTAATAGATGAATGGAAAGTATTATTACATTCATCTATTACTTAGTAGCCTTTACCAATTTCAAAAACAATAGAGATACATAATATTTGGGAAATGACATTTTGGCCATCAGTGTAGAAGTTATGGTAAACTTGGAAAAGATTCTGGGAGCTGTTTGTTGTT